TACAATGCACAATGCTAAGCATGAAGAGTAATGACAAAGGAACATGAAGAAGGAAGGTTAATCAATCATCAATTCTAAGCCAATTTGTATCTATTTGTATGCTGGAAAGATGTTAAAAAGCAAAAAAAAAAGGCAGTTAAATATCTGCTGTTATTAAATTTACTACTAAAAAACTATCTACAATTAACTCAAATTCTCCAGGTCTTATAATAATGAAAGGAAAATCACATTTGAATTCTTCATTCTAACACTAATCAGATTAATTTGTTTCTGGAAGGCTGAATGCCAAAGACAGTAAATGCCCAACTCCACCTGTGCTTAAACACAGTCCAATTTCTTTTCATTTTTTTTTTTTTTAAGAAATGATTAGAGAAATGGAAGAACAAATTTCGTTTTTATGGAATGAAATATGTGTTTCATGAGTAAGCTTCAACAAAGGTATCTTACTTAGGTAAAATAGCGTTGAGCCATAGGCTTCTCTGGCTAGAAAACGCAGACCTTGTTTGCCACCAATGGGAGAGCCCTTTCCTCTCATCCATATTCCCTATCTCCGGCATGAATTTAGAACTGTTGGCACACAAAATGTAGATCAGTCTTCACAGCCCACACAATCTAAATGAAATTGGGCCCAATGGACACTTCTGCAAAGGCCAACCAGCACAAAGACATTCTCAGAAAGCCTAATGTATAGTAATTATTCTGAGGTCAACTTAACTCTTGTCTATCAAAATGCAAAATGTCTCAATGTGTACATTAAAAAAGTCTTAGTCAGTAGTTCTAATTCAGTAAGTGGTTATAGGGCCACTTCTTTATGCTGAGTGTGACACAGGATGCTCAGAACAAGCAGGAGATAGGAAAGAAGTATATAGTCTCCAGGAGCTAATAATCTAGTTACTTAAAACATACTTACCGAACTTTGACTAAATTTTTAAAACATTAGAAGATTGAAAACAAAACAAAAACAAATCCTTACCTTTGTATAATAAATAATCCTGATCCCCCAAAGCACAATTTAACCTTAGAAGTTTGCTGTAAAAAGGGGGAGGGGGGTGTTCTTGCTCATTTTTAGTGTCTGGTTCAAGGATCTCTGTTATGAAGGGGGGAAACACCTTTTAGGTTTTTACTTCTTTTTAATATTATGTCCAAATAATTCATTCAATTAGAAGTGAATGTATACACAGAGGATCTTTTTTGCTTTGCTTTAATAACCCATGATTACTCAAAATCTAATGAATTAATGTCAGTCTGACTCCAGTTTAAAATGACAATATAGGAAAGTACTGTCTCCCACTATGGGTATTAGGCTTCTAGAAAAGATTGGGGAAAAAAGGCCATGGAACCACTTACAGACATTTAACAAAACAGATCAAATCTCTTTTCTCTCTTGCTAAAACATTTTCTCAAACTGTTTATCAAATAGTACTTTCCGTATCTGTCCCCTTCTATAAATCACCCTCCCAACACACTAAAAACATTTGATCTTGAACCTTTAAGTCTCACTCTTTTGTGCTGCATGCATCCGTGAATCCTCCTGTTAGAATGAGAAATCCACGCTACTCAATTATTTTCACTCAATAAGCTTAAGAGTCAGAATTTTGTATAAAAAAAGTTCAAAATATATTGTAATTTGAAATTAACCAAGTCTTTTGGCTAAAGAACAGTGATCCCCAGAGTATTGTCCATTCCAGAGAGACATTCTGCACTCTGTTGGTTTTCTTTCTCATCATATCATATGCTCACTAATAGCCATACACAAATAGTAAAAATCAACGGCAGAATAAATAAGATGTTTTTAGCCTAAGTAGTGCTTTACATAAAATTATAAACTGTCACATAAAGAATCACCTCAACACCATAACATACAGTCAAGAAGTCTTCAGATTATTTGAGATTTAATATGAACACCAATTTAAAATCTCTTGAGATAAGTTCAAGGTAACAAAGTACTATATATTGCTAATGATTTTCTCCTTTATAAAAACATGCTCTTACTCCCAAATGATATAGGAACCCAATCTCTTTCATTGATAAATTAAAGAGGATCCAAATCTTGGAAGCAGGCAAAACATCCAGTGCTTTAATACCACAAACTCATCCACTCCTAATGAGATTCTATCCTTTATGATACCTCACAGCAGAAGACATAACAATAGTTGGGATTCAAAGTACATCCGAATTTGAACTGTTTTGATATTTTTTTCTATCCCATTTACTTGATTATTAACTGATTCCCAACCAAACTCTTTTAATAAAGGCTCTCTGAAAGAACTTCATTGCCAATATTATTATTATTATTATTATTATTATTACTACATGGGGTAAATAAATTAGTGACAGCAAGTGTTCAATTTCACAAAATCAATCAGTGGCAGAGACTAAGAAAGATTCTAAGACTCTGACTCAGAACAATCCGCTTAATCACAAATAACAAGGGTAAACACAATCTTTTCCAAGCCTCACTATACTCTAGTACCCATTTTTTTCCTCCTAAAATCATTTACATAGGGTCTCATCAGCTATGTGGATTAATAGACTCTTCCGTGATATAGCAAAGATAAACTCGGATCCTTACCGTGGCTAAGTTTACTGGTTACTGTTGCTTTTCTTTATTCTAAGCTCTCTGCTGCTCCTAATACCTGATCTGCTTGGGGACAATCTAAAAGCAACTGTTTTTCTAAGATCTGTCCATCTATATAATTCTCTGGTGTGTAAGAATGTGGCAGGGGGTGCTGGAGGGGAGGAGTAAATACACTGATAAGTCTTTTAGGCTTATCAGTAGTAGCACTCAGTAGGACAGAACTTTAATCTATGCAGAAAATTCCTTCTGGCCATTTCTTTTTTTAAAAAAAAGGAATTTTGTGTGTGTTACAAAAATAAAATCCAAAAATCCTAAGTAAATGAGAAAAGCATGAAAACAAGGAAATAGAAGGTAATTACTCCACTGTATTGATCCTAGTTTAAAAAAAAATACACATTATTTGCAAACCCTGGAATACACAACTGTCACAAGAAAGCATTTCAGAGCAAAATGTGCTGCAATATGCTACTGTGATTAAAAGCCATGCAATCTGAAAGACCTCTGTAACAAAAATAAAATGACTAGGAAAATAGCTATTTACATACTTCTCTAAAAAGAAAGGCTGCAATTTTGTGATAGTTACACAAAGGGAGGTGTGACTTTCACATTTACCTAGTATTAAAACATATTTTCATCCACAGGTATTTAATAACATTCAAAGAAATTGCACAAGGTTTAATAGCAAGAATAAACTATGATTTTATGATACTATTACATGTGTTTTAAGCCTAAAGCCATCACAACACATACTAAGGGTAATCATTTGGTACACACTCCCTAAACAGAAAAGATCCTCGCAGTTTTTCTTGTACTTTAGTTTTTTAAATTATACAAATATTACCAGACCCAAATGAGAGAATAAGGAGCAGCAATGAAGTACACCGTATGTTCCCATCGTAGGCTGAGTCCTGGTCTTTGTTCCAATATTCTAGACCCACTGGAAGGAAAGCTAAGTATCCATCCATTAAAACATTTTTACATTATTGCTGGCAAAGTTACACTTCTGACAGGTCTAGTCATCTTGATTATTCCTGTCTGCATTTGCTTCCTTAATACAAATCTCTTTCAATTTTAGGAACCTGCAGTAAACCACCCTGGAAAACAGGTCGGTAGCAGGACAATCTGATAAAACAACGTACAGGGTAGACACTGAAGAAGAATGCAAAGTTATTTTCCTAGTGAAAGTGTTCTGAAGTAATTCTATAACAATGACAATTTTTTTTAACCAGCTACGCACCTATCATCCACCTTATCCTCAATTAGCAGGGTTTCCCTCAATCTTAAGATCTCCCAGAACAGTTTTAATGGTATAACTCACACCAAAAACACTAACCACGCCCTTTAAACCCAGAATCAAGCCACCTTTTGCTTTTTCTCCCCCTACAAAGTCCCAAATGTACATCTTTCATCTAAAAGGGTTCGCACCAGTTCCCTAACCCGAGTCAGAGACTCTAGCTGTGCCCTGACAGAATTCCTATTAGAAGACGCTTTCTCCCGGGCAGTGTGAGGACGCCCAGAAGAGGCACCCACGCTTACCTCCCACACACCTGCAACCCCTGGCGGGATGCTGGAGCTGATGCTCGGAGGACTGCGCTCCGCTCGTGCTCCTGCCTCTCGCCTCTCTCGGGAAACTAGAGTCCAGACTGCGCCTCCGGCTGCTTACAGGGACCCAAGCTCCGCCTCCCCCTCCTCTAGTTGGCGAATTCGGCAGCTGTTGCTCCTCCCCCTGCTGTCCCTGCTGCTGCCCCGGCTGGTGGCGGCGGGAAGCTGCTGCCCTAGTACCTTCCCGCTCCCTGCACGTCTGCAGCTGTTCTGCCGCTTCCCTTCCCCTGGGGACCCCTCTCTCCTCAGTCGGTAGCCTCACACCTGGAGCTGCTTCCTGCTCCACCCGGGCGTCTCCTCCAGAAACCCAGGCTCACACTATCCCTTCCCGACGACCCTCAGGTCTGGCCGCCTGGTGTGCCTGGGGCTTGTCCGCTTTCAGGGAAGCTGCTCCTCCGGCCGGGACGCATCTCCACACCGCTCCCTCTCTCTACGCCGGCGAGTCCCCCCGATGCTTCCTCCCCCTGGTGCAGCGTCCACAGCTCAGCCGCCCCACGTTACCCGCCTCAAGCTCCCCCCCCAACCCCCTTCCTTCCTCTGCTCTGCTAGCCCGCCCCCACAATGGGTGAGTCGCCGACAGGGCCGACCCAGCACCCTGATTGGTGCAGGTGAGAGCTGACCCCTCCCTTCCTCCTCCTTTCGAACACCCTCTCTCTCCGTCTCACCTCCTCCCGCAAAGGCAGGGAACTCTCTTACTATTGGCTAGAAGTGTCCCCACCCATCGCCTTAGGCTCTACCTAACGGCCTGCCGGGAACTGTAGTCTTACATGTGCAGAGATTGCCGACGACGGCTGCGAGTGGGACTACGAGTCCCCATAGGCCCCTGCGCGACTCCGGCTGGGCAGGATTCCGGACAACGCCTGGTTCCTCTCGGGTCCTTCCGGCGTCGCCGGAGTGAATTGATCCGGGAGTTGAAGAGGGCTCCAGAGGTGGGAAGTGAAGTCAGTGCCTCAGTTGCCGGTAAGGTGTGGCTGTTCTGTCCCAGTCTCTGTAGTCCCGAGCGGAGCAGAAGAGGTGTGGGGTCACACAGGGGCCGTGGCTGAGGCACTCGGGCTTGGTTCTGGCAGGCGGAGCGGACGGGGCTGGGAACGGGGCCCTATGGGCGTAAGCGAGGTTACCCTACGCGAGTGGCGTAAAGCGGGTTTGTAAGTGCTGCCTGCCCTGCTCGGGCCTGAACGCCTCCAGGAAGTCTCCTCTAGGTGGGGGCGGGAGGGGAAGGGCGAGGTTGGCCTCTGGTGCCCCTGGAGAAGGGAGAGGGCGGATGTGTCTGGGGTGGGGTCCTCCGAAGGTGTGGCTTGGGGCGGGGAGATGTGGCTGCTGTTTTCCCCCTGCTTTAGAAGTAGGATAGGGAAGGAGTGGAGGAGGGAAGGGGCGCTTGGGAGTCTGCTCTTGGGGTGACTCAGGTTATGCCCTTTGAAAGAAGAGGAGAACTGTAAAGGAAGAGTCAAATGTTGACAGAGATCTGCGGATTCAGTTCCAGTTTCATGATGTGGCCCTTCTGAGGAGGTAATTTTGCCTCTAAGCAGAAAACCTTAACCTTCTTAGGTGTAATTCCAGAGGTATCTTTACACCCGTTCTGTTTTTAAAGACACTGTTTTCGGATGCCTGTGAGAAACTGAGGGGATAAGTGACGTGCCCAAGGTCACACACGTAGGGACTGATTTGAATCTAATCTAATTGTAATCCAGTTTCTGAATCAGGGCTGCCGCACCAGAAATAAAGAATAGGGAGGTTGGTGGTTTTTTGAAGTGAGTGGGGGAAATTGCAAAGTAATGCATTTTATGTATTTCTAAGAAGCCCTTTGTGAGGTAAAGAGTTTTTTGAGTTGGAGAAATTCCTCAATAAATCAAGGACACACACTAACTTTTTGGAACAATAAGTGAGTTTCAGCCTACCTATTACGGGTATACTAAGTGACGGACTGTACCACCATTTCAAACGGTAGATAATGAGCTAGGAGAATGTAAAAAAATATATCCCATCTTTACATTTAAAATGTGTTCCTTTTCCTCCCTACCTTAGGACTGACGGTTTTTCCTATGATTTTGTAAAACTGACAACAGTAGTATCGGAATTCTTTCACAAAACTTATTTTACACGTTTTTCAAGTAATAATAGTATCAAGAGAGTTTGGTGTGCTCATTACTAGAAAAGAAGTTACGTTGCATTTCTTGGACGTAACATCACATTTTGTTGATTTCTATTTACTTTTCCCCTTATTTTCTTGACTCCAGTGTGTGTGTATTTATGTGTAAAATCATCAAGCGCCTACTTTATTTTTCTTAGCATTATAAATGACTTTTAATTCATCCTATTTTTACTAAAGAATGGGAAAATTGGATATTTATATTTTATATTGAGCAGAAAGCAGTATTCTTGTAACTTAACGGTCTTATCCTTTATAATTGTTAGTGTGACCATTTATAGCTCATGAATATTACTGGATCTTTAATAGAATTTTAGGTGTGTTTTTTGACATCAGGATTTCTTTTGTGATAAGTTTATATACAATAATTCAGTATCTGCTGATAGCTAGTAGTTAATCCTGGTTTACTGTTGTATAAGTTGACCGTTGAAATATGCTGCTTTTTGAATGTACTCTGCAAATATTAACAATGTTTAACTTTTGAATGCAAAAACGCTTTCTAGGATCATATATTGTATATTGCTCCCCTATGATTGAAGTTAAGATGGTCTGGAGATTAATATAACCTTTAAAATAGAGGTATGATATTATAGAATGAAGTAGGAAGTATAGGAGTAACATAGCACCATGAGTAATGCAGTACACAAGGAAGGAAGACCAATTAAACAAAATTATGTGGGGATAACTGGCTCCATGCTATATTATAGGAGGAAATGGTAGTTTACATAGAGCGTAAACTGAACATGAGTTAGTGATAGTAAAGCAAGAATGTTAATGTGTTTTCTGGATGGCAGTGTAGGCATTTCCTTTTTGTTGGGGGAAGTGTGAGATGAGTTCTCTAACTTTGGCATGCAGCTATGAGGTTGTGGAATGAGCTTTTGAATTAAAAGTCAGGAAAATTTGGAAATAAGTAAAATTAATTTAATGCATTTGTTCAGTGTGTGTTAGTTTTTGTCCTGGGTTCAGTTCTATCATTACTCTTCATCTCTGAGGCCCATTATGGTTTTGGTATTTCATCTATATTGTAAAATGATGGAGTAAGGTTGTTACTGTATTTACAATCTTTAAGTCACACTGTGGTCACTTTGGATCTCTGCACATTGAAGAATTTAGGGTTCCCAGAGTTATGTGAATACTCGTATTTTTATAATAGTTAGCAGTTCACCAGTATCCACATTTGTTCTCATTTTTGGTTTTGCAGAAGACTTGTGTCAGCTTTTGGACATCATCTCTTATAGGACTTAGGATGTCTCCCACATGCATCTATCTTTGAGGGTAGAAGGTCATGAGAACAGGATTCTGTATTATCATTGCATTCCCAGTAGGTAAAATAATTGAGTACCTGTTTACACAGGGAATGAAAAAGTTCAAATTGGTCAAGTGTAAGGTCATGAAACTAGTGACTGGTGGGATTAAGGCATAAGCCAGGTCTTCTGACTGTAGATCTTACTATTATAGAATAAAGACTCAGTTCCCCAAATTATTTATTTTACATGAGAAAAGGACTTAAAATGACTTAAGTATTCAAATTCTTTTACCCTCATACACTTTTTAATGCTGACAGTTTATTCTTTGCCTCCTTTCCAGCTCTCCACACTTATTACCAACCTTTCTTATTTACTGCACCTTTCAATTACTACATACATAAGTTTCTTCCTGACTTGGGAACCTTTGTACATCATGTTCCATCTCCCTGCGGGACTGCTCCTTGTCTCCTTCCTAAATCTGATGAACTCCTAGTTATTTGTAGATCTCAGTTTAAATGTCATTCCTCAGGGGAACCTTTCCTGACCTTCTTTGACTCTTCCTTCCTAAAACTAGAACTTACTATAGTAAGTTCCTAGTGTATCTTCACCAGCTTTGTACATCTTTGTAGCATCATCACAATAGGAACTTAATTATTTCTTATTTGATAAATGTCTGTCTCTCTCACTAGACTATAAGCTACCTAGGTAGGACCCTCTCATTTGTCATGTGCTTTACCTCATTACTTACACAGTATCTGGCACAAAGTAAGTTTTCAGTAAATACTTGCTGAATGAGTGAGTAAATGATTGAATGAATGAGTGCATTCATGCACAGTGTCTCCAGCACTGCTAGGGACAGAAATACAGAAATAAGTAAAACAGACTTGCTTTCCACCCTTAGATGAAAGGACTTATGACAGAAGTTTTATAATATAAATTATAGAAAGATGTTTCTTCTTTTTGGAGGTCTCTAAGATCAGGATAGATCGTTTTCTATAGGGAAATGAAAAAGGAGTCATTTTCTGTTACAGCAGACTTTGTGTGTAACACAGCATTTTGGAGACCTTATCACTGTCCTGCTTTTTGCAAGCAACATTCATTATAACAAAATATAGATGTGGAGGAAACAAACTTTTAATGGATTCTATACTTCCCTAATGTGATCTCATTTTGTCCTGAACAGAATTCATGCTTTTTTCTTTTTTCTTTGTTGTTTCATTTTGTTTTTTAACCATGGTATCTTCTTTTGAATTTTACTTTTAATATCATCTGCTTTAGACAAGGTGACTTTGTAAAATGGAGTCATGCTTGTTTCAAAGCTTATATTTTGGGCTTCTTGAAAATTTTCCTATTTCACTGGGTCTTAAGGTAATACCTTATTTGCTTTAAACTTAGATACTTATGAGACTAAAATGATCATTATTTTAAAAACATGCAAACCAAATTTCAGGGATAAATATGTGTTAGATTTTGGTTGTGAAAACAAATTCAGTAATCCTTTGCAGTACTATAATAATCGCAGAGAATAAATTGAACAGCTCTGAGTTGCTGTAACCTTATATGCTTTCATGAATTTACCAATTCCCTCTCTCACAAGAGATTGTCAAAAAATGATTGCTGGCATTTGGTTTTAAAATTTGATAATACTCCCAGTTTTTATTAATAATTGTAAGTCTTTGATAAGTCCTAAACTTACTTTTTTTTAAAAAGTCAGTTTTTATGTTTTTATTTTTTTATGATCTTTTTTACCCAAGAAATTCATATTTACTTAGTATAACTAGTATATGGAGAACAAATCTAAAGTACTGCTTCTTACATGTTTTTGGATTATTAGGGTCATTATAATAGGTAATGTTACTAAGAGTTTTAAGCTAATTTCATGGTAAATAAAATGAGAAGTTAAGTAGTGTGAGGGTTTTTTTTTTTTTTGTATATATTACTGCATTTGAAATGTTATAGAAAGTTGCAGTCTTAAATATTGATTTTTGGGGGGCACACACACGGTGTAACCAATGAAAACACCTTTATTGCAGCATTTAGAAATAATTTATTTGCAGAAAGATAAACAATGTAGTTTGGTGGTCCATTTTTGTAGGAAAATGAAAAATTCAGTTTTTAAAGTTTTAGCTACAAAATTAATTGCATCTTTGATGTAGTGTAATATTACAATCTTATTTTCAAAATCACCCTTATATTTTTGGTTTGAATAGCCTTTTTTTTTTTTAACTACTCAAAAAGTGAGTTGAATCTATTCAGTCTTAATTTTACTCTTCTGTGGTTGCTTAGAATTAATTAATTGTTGCTATTTAAAAGAAAGAAAAAAGAGGATTTTATCAGCAAGCTTATGAATTATTGGGTAACAGCAGTGCAACATATTAAATGGTAACTACTGTTTACTCAGGCCAATCCCTTGGAAATAAGTTTACCAGAAGTAAGTATAGATTGCTTAATAATATTTTGTTTTATTCATTTGTCAAATATTTATTGAGTATATATTATGTGTGAAATTACCCTAAATATTTAGAATGAGCTGGGATATAATCTGATAGCTGCATTTATTGAGCAGT